GCTCTTTTTTAGATTTACTCCTCGTTTCTTATAGACGTTGTACACACTTTTTGTTGTTGATCCCTTCTGAAGAACGATATTGCTGCCACCTGAAATCTTTGCCTTAGCAACAGATAACGTATACAGTATTTGCGGTATCGACGTGTTCTACCATTTTAGCACACGTCAGTAATAGCGTTGCTCTTTTTTGGTGTTGCTACTTCCAGGCAGATATATAGTGAGTGCTAAAATCTATCTGGATGATTATGAAAGATGCATTAAGTACTATAAGGCAGGAAGTGGTCGTTGCCAATTTTAAGGAACTATGCCAGTGTAAGATTTGAGGTTTTCACAGCGGTGAGTATGAAGATTTCTGTCTTCTGGGTTGTTGCGCTGTGTAGTCTGGTCGATGTTTACCAACGTTTCAGAGGTCATACTGCCTCCTTCATCAGGGCGATGATTATGAAGATTTCTGTCTTCTGGGTTGTTGCGTTGTGTAGTCTGGTAGATGTTAACCAGACTACACACCGCAACAACCCAGAAGACAGAAATCTTCAACTATGCCAGTACTATACCGTCGCGCGGATACAGATACTATCATTGGATGCAGCTGATAATGTAGTTGCCCCTGTGGAACTCCAAGTCATAAAGGCGAGATAAATTTCCAAACATTATCTTCGGCGCTCGATCAGACCTCTTTTACCTCCGCGGAAACCCCCTGGGTTCTCATATTCCCAATAAGGTGCGGAAGGGCGTGGAGGGCGATCATCTACCACTTTCCTCTACATAGGGTCAACGAACGGATGTAAAACTTACACATACATACGTGTAGGTCGCTGTGGGGCCTCTCGTTAGACGGTTTGGATTTACGTTTAATAAGGACCTTGAGACACGTTAAGGAATATGAGTTAAACGACCGAACAGCGTAAATTCAAGGTTGTAAGCAACTTGTTTCTCTGTCGCTCTAGAGAGATGGTTCACCCCACCACACACTGGATGCCTGAGTTCATGCTTGGTCTACTTTGAACAAGTTTTCCCGCGACCGCCAAAACACTCCCTTATTTTATAACGAACACTCGTCCGCGCTCAACCGAAACAACCCTTGAGGAAGAATTTTGCTAGGAAAATTGGTGTTTCGGTTATTAGCAAGGCAACTGTTGAAGTTGAAATCTGACTATACCTAATAGTATGATGGCCATGTAATTCCATTAGACATTACAATTACGACACATTCTAAAATTCAAATATCAACATTTAATCTGAGGGGCATATTTGCTGAACGAGGTCTTGACCAACTAAATTTTGATACGCTGATTGGTATGTGGATCATCTTCCTGGACCGAAGGGAGGGGCGTACTTTTTACTCTTGATCCATGATGTCCCCGATCACACCCCAAGCCTGAAGAGCCCCGTTCTGCGCCAACCAGTGGTCTTCCCGCTTATGCAAGAACGGAACTGATGGCCGATCAGCTGAGCCCAGCTGTTGGTGTCTCAGTCAATGTACATATTGCACTGGTTCTACCAATCAGAAGTAGCAACGCTTCAAAATACCCTCTCCCTTCTCTTACCTCTCGCCAAACAAACATCAAACGTTGTGTCTGTAGTCGAAGTGGAGTGGGCAGATGGTGCATAAGACTGTTACGGAAAGAATTTGAGCCTGTGGTACAGCTAATGTTAATTGTTTAATATATGAAAGACTGTTGAATTTGCTGTATGATTCGTATGAAGTTTCCTAATTACGGGAATGGGTGCATCCTAGCCATGAACGTCTTGTATCTATGAAAGTATAGTGGTCTGTATGGGCAACTGTACTAAAGGAGCCTGTAAGTAGTTTAATAACTGGTGTTGTTGATGTACTGAAATATCTGCATGCAATACAGCAATTTGTTGTTTATGTGTTCCATATATAACATCAAAACTGTGTGAATACTTTAAATTTGACTTTTGTACGGTGCTTGCTTCTGCAAATAAGAGTGCGCCAGTTTTCTTCTAGTGAGACTGGCTTCATTTGTATTTAAAAAGAAGGTAGTCAGAAGAAAACGAGAAACACTGTGTTCAAATATAAGTAAACATTAATTAATACGAAAATTACATACGTGGGAACGACCTGGGGTCGACCTGATGCCTCATTTTCGCGCGCGATCCTCACATGGAGGGAATGTAATATTACAGTTTTAAGTGAAAAGTATGCTGATTTTGAATTGTTTTAGTGGTAAATGGTGTGTATGAATACAATTTCAAACATTTCCGGATACTTTGGGGAGAATGTTTCTAATTTATTTTATTAATTCAAGCGCGTAATAGAAGCCATTAACCATTGTTCAAGAATTCACGCGGGATGGTTTCTTATGTGGTGGTTAATTGATAATCTAATGGTCACTGACTGTAATGCCAGTGATATTATTATGTTTTCCAGTTGTTTTTCAGGTACCCCTTCATGTGTTTGTGTGAGCAATTTTTATTGCTTTGGTATTCCATTTCATAAACTTTCTCCAAATTCAGAAGTTTCTTATACAATGTATTTGGTAAATTGAGTATTGCAGAGTTTCAAGTTTTCCAGAACAGCTAACAATATTACTGTGATATCTTTTCGTTTGATTTATTCTAATTTTAGAGTTGATTGATTAATTGGTATCTAATGCCCCCAGAGATGACTTTCCCTTCAAGTCTAAAATCCATTTTTTGAAGTGGAGGACACCCATATGGTAGATTCTGTTACCCCCAATTGATACAGTGATTTTGAAGATGCAAAGGAGACCAACATTTTAATGTGGACCCTGAAATCTAGTATGCTGGACATTTTCATTTCAGTTGTAAATTAAATTATTCTAGAACAGGAACGATGTAAAATTTATTTAATCCGTAGAAATGACCAGCTATACGGCAATCCCCTATTCAGTTATATGAAGTGAAAGACCATAAGTACAAAACATAGATAAACAAATGTATTGTTTAAAAACTTCACTATATACTTCTGACCCATGTGGTCATCATCAGGTGAATATATAGGCCTACATGCAAAAAAGCCACTATGTAATAAGTACCTGCAATATGCCAACAGACTTACACATTATCCATCATTCTGATTTTAATTAAAAAATTACATTTTGGGAAATGGTATCTGTCTGCATCGTCAAGTAAAACCTACTCTGTTTGGTCCATTTGTTTGTGCTAGACTCTGTATTTAGTTTCTGAAATGTTACTTTTTGAATTGGAGGTAGGACGATGGATAATGCCCAAGAAGTCTGTAATTGTGATGGTATACTCATCACAGACCCTTGTATATGACAAACATTATTGGGCTGAATCCATTGAGTACGCTGTACAGATTGTGACATATTAAAAGTAAAGCCGTCCCACTGCATGTCATGTAATTCGTTTGGGGGGAGTGGAGGTATAGCTCCTCTTTCTTGACCTTGGCACTAGATGGGGTCAGTGGTCCTGCCCCGTCAGGGATCGAACCCCAGTCGTCCAGCCTGTAGCTAGTCACTATACTGACTGAGCTATCCCGGCTCCTATGCGATATATTATTACAAGTAAAAATATGTGGAATCCACTAATATTGTATATACAGTCATATAAAATGTTGATCATTACCTTCAAAAATTTCTCAGGTACTGTGGGTGTGAATGTAGGGATAGTATGTTGTAACTGGCCATGCCTTCCTTCCAAGTCCTTACCTCATAATCTCGTTTGTTTCATTTGATACTAGGTAAATTATTGCAGCTGATACTGTCTTTGACTCATTGGCTCCCATGAGGGAAATCGATGGGTCACTTGAGAATAAATTTTAGTATCGTGAGAGGTGCCAGTGGGTCACAGAACTGTATTGTTTATTAGAGGCTCAGTCTTATGGAGATATAATCCATTTCTAACATCACAGCTGGGGCAGCAAAGATGCACGAGGTTCGTGAGCACCATTGGAGTGTTCCAGTATTGCATGATGCATTTTCAGTTGCAAATGAATTTGGCCTCCAGATGTGGGGGGTAACTGTGAATGTGTTGAATAAGTAGTTGCAGACAGTTGACAGGGGGTGGCCCTCCAGCTTGAGGATTGGAGTGTGAGGCTAGCAACCTCTCACCGAGCAGTCCTGGCACTTAGCAGAATTTACAAAATATGGTTTCTTTGGGATGGGCAAACTGCTGAAAAGAAGATGAGTTTTGGAACTTGAAATTGTGTCTTGAAGAGATGTGTGAGGGTGTGGACTGAATTCAGCTAGCTCAAGATATGGTCCAGTAGTATGCAAGTATTTGAAAGCAAAGTGCTAGGAATTATGAGTAACTGGGATTGGAAGACATTATATAATGAAGGGTGTGTAATTTATGCAGGCAAGCTAGTATTATGAGGATGATAAAATGAAGAATGTTATGATGAGCTGGTCATATGGTATAGGTGGAAGGCAAGAGGTGCTTTTAAAATTTTGGTTACAAACCCTCTGAGAATGTCTGGAAGGCTGAGAATTGACTAGGAAGATGTTAGGATGGTTATGAGGGAAATGCAAACAGGTTGTGAGGATTCAAAGTGGTGGAAGTAACTGAAGATAGTGTCATGTGGTAGGCATTTGTGTTGGCAGTCTGGCTTCTGTAACTAGAAAGTTTGTTTATTGGTCCACTGTAATCCCTACTTTACATGATGTTGAAACTACTGTATATAAAGTTTTCTGAAACAGCTCATTGCACAAGAAATGGAAAAATAACATAATGATGTTTGCTTTTCCTCCCTACAAAGAACGCTGGGTGCAACGAAGGAGTTCACCATCAGACTCTTCAACTTTGAAGCCCCAGCACGTCACCATGCGTCGAGAAAGGTATAGTGTTGTTGATATAAGTGTAATTCTTATTCCAAATTTGATAACAATTTAAATTATATTAATTGCACTAAAATACCATTGATTTAGCTTGTAGAATGTAGTTGAAGGGAAATTAAAGATTTTGTTTGCTCGGTTTGCCTTCTTTTTCACCTCCTATAGCCTACGATATCTGCAGAAGGGAGTGCAGAGTTTGTGTGAGTGTGTTAGTGACCGAGCAGATGGCAAAGTTGCATAGAAGGATGTGTGTGGAGCTGAACTCATTTTTTCATCTTTGAAATAGAAAATGATTCTGTACCAACAAACTGGTTAAACTTATTATGGCATTTACCGTGATGATATCAATATGTGCCAAAATTGTCTGCACTGGGGGGATCAGAAGATTGTTTTTAAATAATTAAGGAGTATTGGTAATAAATAGTTGGACTGGAGTGCTGCATATCCTTTTAAAGTGCAGTTGAACAGCTTTTGTTAGGGTTTTCTCCACCACCCACTTGATAAATGTCACCAGGGAAATTTTAAGTTTTAGGTATTCCAAATCTCATTAAGTTGTCTTACACAGTGCTTTTTGTAGGAAATTATGATTACCTTTAGGTGTTTGTAGTACACTAGTAAATAAGCAGAACATGTGTTGCAGTGGTCACCAGCCAACTCGTCCAACACTGTTGAAGCGGAAGCGGGTACATTCAGAAGTTGAGGTGAGTGAAGAAATTTTCCATATGTTAATTTCTTGTTTGTATGAATGGTACAGAATTATCAGTATTGCTCAAGTACTCTGTTATGAAATACGAATATAATTATATAGTGATTGCAGTAGTTTTTGGCCGGTGGAATTTACAAGGGGAAGGCTGGCAGCGAGTCACTTGTACAATAGTGACTATACATGTAATTTGGCCTTGCTGTCCATTAGGATAGTTGGTTTATACGTGCGTTTGTTCATATGGGAAATGCGTACAAAATTTTGGTTGGAGAGCCTTAAGAGGAGAAACCACTCTGAAGAGATAGGCGTAGGTGGGAGAACAGTATTAAAATTTGTTTGGGAAGTAGGTCAACTCTTGTGAACATGTAATGAACCTTAGAGTTCTATAAAATGTCTTGGGTTCAGTATCATATATTGCCACTAATATAAGAAGTAATTAAAAACTGTCAGTATGACAGCCAATCACCTGAAGACGGGAGTAGAGCAAATTCCTGAAATGTTGATTAGATTAAATATACCTCAGACAATGGGCAATGTCCAACATATAGTAATGTATCCATTTCAAATTGGGGCATGAGTCAAGATCCATTTTAATTTTGTCTTACCATCTAAATCTAAGTACTGTTTATGGTTGGTAAACACAGTCTGGTTTTTACAGGACACAGAGAACAACCCTCCCATACAGGATGCAGGCACTCAGCAAGTTGCAGACCAGGTATTTTTTTTAGTAAACTCATGATTGCCCAGGTCTAATTTAAGTTTTAGAACTTGATTACTTTTTAAAAACTTATCTTGTTTGATGAGTAGTTGTAAAACTAAGTTTATGAGCTTAGTTTAACAGTATTTTCATGTTTTTGACTGTATTATTAGCTATTCCTTATGTTCTATATTTGCCTGAATACGAGACAGTCTCTTCTCAAAACTTAGAAAGTGTAAAACATTCTTTCACTTTTAATGATGAGTCAGCTTCTTCCCACTCACTGTTTTATGGTAAAAATACATGTAATTAACATTTCATACTATACTGACACTCTTATTTTTCATATGTGGTAGTGCTTCTAGGGAAAAATCAGCAGTTCATATTCAGTCCTAGCTACTCAATTTTGACATTATCAGGAATTTTATATTGTCACATATATCACAAATCAGAAACAAATGATGGTCTGTCCATGTTGTGGATAGTTACAATCCCTGCAAAATTCTAGGACTTAAATAAGACAACGCACAACTACTGTACAGTATCGAGGACTGTTGTATGGTGATGTTTAACTAACTGTTGCCTTCAGTCATTGATACTTGTGCTACCCTGTCTTTTTTCATTTCTTTACTATATAAAATACAAAATTAATTTCAGGTTGTTGATTTGCTTTAGTGATGCTTTACTAGTGATTCAGTCAATGGATTTTGAATGGACGAGCTATAGAGTTTTATAATTTTTAAGGAGTTTAATTATTTCAAGAAAAAGCTATGGGCTTTTGTATGATTTTGCCAGATTCCAAGAACATGCTGTCTTCTAGTTTTATTTTATAAGTTGAAATGGAAGTTCTCGCAACATCATATTTTTACGGATCTCTCTTTCTTGGTTCTGTCATGTTTTAATCTTTGTAAAGAGACGTATGATTTGTACCATTGATGGCTAATATTCGTAGTAATGATATATTTTGTTATGTTTGTGATTAGAATGCAACTTTTAATTTTCTTACAAGCAGTGTTACAAAGTCTTATATTTAAGATAAGTATTATATGTGTAGAACATATACACCTTTTGGGCATACTGGCAGTTTGCTGTTGATGGCCCCATGGGAAATTAAAATTATGTGTGGCTAATGAGAGTAATGCCTTGAGAAGGCTGTACAAGAGTTAGGTTTATCAAAAGCCTAAGGAGAGGGACTGTTTTATCATAACAAATGTAAACTGGTTATAGAAATTTAAAGTGCAGCTCTGACATGGGAAGCTGAGGGTAATTCAGTGCAGTAACCCACAACAAATACATTCCTCTGGGTGAGATGTCCTTGGCCTATATCCCATGAATATATGTATACTTTTCACCATTGTTAATACACAGGGTTTGATGATTGACTCTGAATTACAGAACTGGATAATGGCAAATGAGGTAGCACAGGAAACTGACACTTGTTCATCTGGCCCTCTGAGTGACTGTATGTCAAGCAGTGAACATGAATCAGATACAGATCATCTTCCAGAACACAGAACACCGACTTCTTGGAGCCAGTAAGGATATTGTATTATACTGTTTAGGGTAATGCCTTCTTGTATGGTCTTCATTAACCGTACACTCTACTCCTTCAGTATTGGTAGTCATGTCTCATCATGTGTTATTTTTGTGGAGGAGGCATCTATGAGACACTCAGTTCTTATAACCTATTTTCTGAAATTATGAGTACTTACTGTTACGGTCAAATTAGAACTTGTGCTGTTAGATTTCTGTACTTGCCTCTTAGCACAGAGATGACAACTTTTGGTTTGTTGTTGGAAATTCTGAAGTGGATCGTGACACATTAATATTAATTTTATTATTTCAGGTTTCGAGAAATGACGTGTCCTCTTACTCCTTTTTCTGATCGTGTGTCTCCACTTCCTGTGCTGAAATGGGCCAATCCTCAAGAGGTTTGGGAGCTCATGTGTCACAAAGACGAGATTTCCGCACAAGAACGTGATGAGGACTTGTTTTCCAAACATCCTGGTCTCCAGCCACGCATGAGGGCTATTCTCCTAGATTGGCTTATAGAAGTGAGTTGAACAGAAGCAGTGTTCCATTATGCTGACATCTTACTCAAGGGCAAAATTAACCTTCTGAAATATGTGTGTCATGTTGGAAAAATGTAATTTTGGTATTTATTTAGAAACAGTTGTTATTGGCCCTGTATATCAAAATAATTTTTACACAATTTTTATGCTTTGTAGGTGTGTGAGGTGTACAAGATGCATAGAGAAACATACCACTTGACGATGGACTTCATCGATCGGTATTTGTCTCATAAGAGAGATGTACCAAAACAGCATCTTCAGCTCATAGGTTTGTGTGTAGTGTTTTTATGATTCTCCATTGTGACAGAGGTGCCAAATACTGAACTATGAAGTGTGTAACTCCACAGTGCTGTGTGTCTTTGAAAAATCAAAAGTTAATAACCCGAGCAAGACGTGTACTTCTTTCATTTATCCCAAAGTTTTACTATCATGTTCACAGTCTCACTGCTTGACTTTATTTTAAGCCTGTTGAACCCATTCCATTTCCTTGCATCTAGTTTCCTGAAGATTCGTTCTAGTACTGTTCTTTCATCTGTGCTTAGGTCTCCCAAGTTCTCGTCTTTGAGATTTCCCAACCAAAATTTTCCATGTATTTCCCATCTCCCTGTATGTGCTACATGCCCCGCTTATCTCATCCTTGATTTGATTACATTTACAACATTGCTACATAGAATTTGTGAAACTCCATGTTTAATTTTCCTCACCCTCTATCTTACTGAATTTTGATAGATTGGATATCCTGGAATACAATTTTCTGGGTTGATTCTGAAAGTAAAGCTTGTATGAAATGTGTTTTTGTGTGTTGGAAAATATTGACAAGTAGGTTGCGGAAATGTTGAAGGTTATAGTCATCTTCATGCCCTAAATTTGAGTTTGAGCCAGCCTCTTGACCACTGGTACCTGGAGCATGGCACTGAGCATACCTGATGAAAAAATCAAATATGTGTGGAGCATACCTCTATGCCCACTGTGTCATTATGGCGTGATGCTTATTCATTGTTATTTCTCTACTTCATTTACTTATTTTTCTCCTTTTTTCTTCTTCTTGGTTGCAGGAATAACTTGTCTCTTCATAGCTGCCAAAGTTGAAGAAATATATCCTCCCAAAATAGCAGAATTTGCTTTCGTAACTGATGGTGCCTGTTCAGAGAATGAAATCCTTGACATGGAACTAATCATACTAAAGGTACATTGTTTCTAGTTGCATCCACAGTTAGCTAACATATTCCATGAGCAGGTGATACATAAATTCTATGTTGAATTCGGCCAACACTTTCACATATTTTAATGTCCTGCTGCTCATGTTTGTGTGTTCCAAGTTTTCTTTTACCTTGAGATTTTTTGAGCAAAATTTGTGCCATATTTGACAAGCTTTGTGTAGAAAGGGTTTGTTGTATTGTAAATTATGCAGAAAAACTTATCATTTAATTATGTAATTATTAATAGTTCCTGCTAACCTTCTCTTCCAGTGTATGGAAGACTGTAGATATCATGCACATGAATTTTATTATGTTTGGTAGGCCTAGTTTGTATTTCTGAAGTGATTATGTATTTTTTTTATTATTTTAGACATTAAATTGGAACCTGTCGCCTGTGACAGTGAACGGCTGGCTCAGTATGTACATGCAGCTGTGTTGCGACAGTCGGAAAAGGGCGCGGCAAGCCGAACGTCTCGGCCGACCCGACCCTAGCTTTGTATTCCCTCAGTATTCTGGATTGGCATTTGTTCAGACTGCTCAACTGGTTGACCTCTGTATGCTGGATGAAGGCAGCTTGAAGTTTCCTTATAGTGTGTTGGCAGCCACTGCCCTGTATCACATGTTCAGTAGGGAACTCGCTCTCTTTGTATCAGGTGAATAATCCTGTCTTACATTTTAACTTCAAATTTAGGATACCAATGACTACATGGTTCTGAAGTATAAATGTTTTACATTTTATTACTAGGTTTACAATGGGGGGACATAGTAACTTGTGTCCAGTGGATGGCTGCATTTGTACACGTTGTTCGAGAGGAAGGTCAAACTCAAGTGACAGCTGCTGTTAGGCAAGGCACAGCTACCAGTGATGCCAATAACAGTTCTGGATTGCTAAAATCTATGCCTCATGTTGTTGTGGACGACTCTCATAACATACAAACTCATGTAGTAGACCTCCAAATGCTGGTGAGTATTGCCAGTCTTTAAATTTAATTGGTGCATAAATGTGGTTACATGTTTTACAACAGTAAGTACATTCCATGGGAGATATAGATCAGTTTCTCAAGCACTTTCTTCTGTGGAGCCTTATTGGCCCCTTGTATAGTGTTTACAAGTGACAGAGAGAACCTTTAAGTGATAATATTTTTGTTATTTGTGTCATTGAGATGAATATTTCTTCTTATATAACTAATTTTCCAAAAATTAGGCATAATGATAAATGGATAGCCTGAAGAAGGAGTGTATTTTTCTTACGTTTTGTAACTGACGATGCATTAAGCAGGTCCAGGTTCACAAGTGTGTCATGTGGATCTGCATTATGATTACAGTGGGAAGTTTAGACATTTTAACTTAGTGTAATGTGTGAATATATAATAGATCCATGAGACAACATGTAGCTGATGTACATTAAATATGTCAATGTACATAGCTGTAACAACTGTAGGCGGGAGTTAATACTTTGAGATAAAAAAAATGAGTGAAAATATTACAGATGAATTATGGATTAATATTATTATAGATACAATTTCAGACTATGGAAATAACATATAGGAATATGATGAAAGAATGGAAGACAGTTTTGTGATAGAAGCATGTTGGGGAGGATTGACCAGAGATTTGGTGGCAGTGAAACAGGCCAGTATGGTAATTCTTGAAGTTGGTAAGAATGGTTGGTGGTTGAAAGGCGAGAAAACAAACCTTTCGAGAACCATCTTCTTTGTCATTCTCAGGGTGCTGAGGACCAATAACCTGAGAACAAGGACAAAGATGGTTCTTTAAACGTTAGTTTTTTTGCCTTTCAACCGCCTGATACAGCTGGTAACCCAAGAAGAATTCATTATATTTACTAGCCGTGAAAGCTCCAGATCATACATTGGTAAGAATGAAGTTATTTAATTTGTTACATATATGTTCTGCTCAGGGTAGACCTGTTGTGTTCCAGGATAAGGCAAAAGCACATGTGAATCAGATGTCTATAGAAGAAAGTCCATCAGCAGTGGCACCATCAGCAGGGCTCCTCACCCCACCACCTTCCAGTAGGAAGAGCATATCAGATCACAAGATTACATTAGCGGGAAGTCTTACATAGGCAGATGTATTCTGTGATAGGTTAAAGTGTCATAAGTACAATGAGGGGCACATTGGTACCGAAAATGCAAGGTGTTGGGATTTAGGACATATCATTTTGCACGTATTATCATCCCTAGCTCTAACAGTGTAGTGTAGCTATTAACATCATAGCTGATGTGTAAATGTAGGTTGTACAGGTTGGAACACATGTTTTATGTGTGTGCGTTCCCATCCGACTTTAGGGACTTTTGTTTATCCCTTGAAGAAAGCAAACTTTTGAAGTATATGACATACTAAAGTTCAATGATTGGAATGAAGATGAATGTGCCAATTTTATAACATTGCAAATACAGCCCCTGATTGTCAAAACCAATGAATGTTATTAAAAAATGAGAGGAAAACATTTAATAATGTAGGTGTAAGAAACCAAAACATTTATTTTACAACTTAAAAGTTTACATTGTTGTCATTCGTTTTTTTAATGTAATTTTGTATGTAAGGGTTTTTATATTTTAAGCGTATTGTATTGCCATGAAGTTGCGTGGATTACGATTCACATAACTGTGCCTATACCACATATGAGTATAACAGTGGCGAACAGTGCCAAGGAAGCGCTTTTTAATTCTAGTCTCCTAACCACAACCATAACTTTTGCAAGCTTAAATTGATGGATAAATAACATTTTGATAACTGCAAAGGATTTGAAAGATATTTTTCCTGTTAATTTTGGCTTGGCAGAGAGCAAAACTTGTGGGCAGGTCTTTACCATAATACACTCTCCATAATACATAATACGTTGTCCAATAATTCTAGACATTTCTACAGATACAGCTTGCTATAGAGATGTCATTTCCACTAATAAACGTGGTGGTAGTATAATTAATTTCTGGTAGAAAAGTTTGAATGGTGATTTGTTAGAAATTCAGTATGTGGAATGCATATTGAAGGTTTTCATTCAGTTTTAGATGAAAATGGAAGACTGAAGGGCATGCTCCATGTTTTAGAGACTCTAAGATACAGTGAATAAAATAGAATAATCTTAACAATCTCCAGTGCTCTGATAATCACTGACACATAAAAATTTGCTTGGTAAATACATGTGCCTTTATAAGCATATTTCATATTCAAAAATATTATCCTGATTTCAATCTATTGATTATTTATTTGGTGTGATACTTTTGATCATATCTAATTGTCTTATGGCATTTAAAATTTGATTTATTGAAGGTTTGTTAAAAACAAAGTGACAACAGTATATTTCACTTCTGGAGAAATCTTTTATTGTTTTTATTTGTCATCCTTATTACTGTATTGGAGGGGGGGGGGGTGAAAAAAACTGGTCACTTCAGTGACTAATGAAATGAGTACAAGAAAAAAATTAACTATTTCAAAATGGCTCTATGGTAAACCTCATGTCCCTTGGGATATTTGTGCAATACATGTATTACCTGTTTTTGTGGTGGGGTGTTTTAAATATTTTGATATTTCTGAAGTCATAATAGAAATTTTGAGACACCTGTAGTCTGATGTGTAACTCCTTACACGGTACTGAAACCCAAGTGTGATGAATTTTATGTGAACAGAGGGCAGACTGGAGGAAGCAGTGAATGGTTCAAGAAACAAAGGTACATTTAACATAATATATTGCAAGTTCCTTTGTCCCTGTTCATAAGGGGAAAACATTGGTAATTGCTGTAATAGAATGCCATCTTAACACTTCTGATAGAGTTAAAAATGCTTTAGTTCCGTATAATGTTTACACAGTTTTAAACTTTTGATTTATTATGAATTTTTAGTTTTAAAATTACTAATGATGTAACGGTTCTTAACATAGATATGTCCCAAAAGATGTATACACCTTATAATACAAAATATTAACCCTGTCATTGATGTGTGTGTTATGTTTATGAAGGGCACCTAGTGTGGTCAACAGATGGCACCACAATCTTTCCCCCACAATTCATATATGCAAAATGGGTCGGGGGATCAATCAAGTATTGAGCAATGCAAATTCATTGAATGTATATATACATCTTTTTGGGGCATTCTGTGTTTCCAAATAAATTCTGGACCATTAATGTGAGATATCTCCTGGGCAATAAGTGCAGTCATGCTGAAATTCTTTATTTGTATCCTCTGAAGAAAATCCATAACACATGGAACCTTCACTTTCTTTTTGTTCTCATATACATTGGTGCATAGAATTTCAGTATGTTTAAAACTTGTAAGTTCTTCAAAGCTAAACAGAGTGCCCATTGCATAATAATCTTTGTATGTCCCAAGGAGATTAGTCACTAGTGAAAACATATATCCTTGCCTTGTGTTGTAAATATAGCAGTGCTGAATTGCATTTAAAGAAAGCAGACTCGTGAAGATTGTTTATATGCAAGTATTGTGTTTGGTTCATTTTACTTATGCATATTGATTTGTGGACCAAGTATAGACCACTGCCGCATGAGAGAGTGACTATTATTGTATTTATGGTTTTTATACTTTTTTACTGTACCAGGCAATATGCCAGTATAGCATTTGTTTGGAGGTTAAATAATATTTCTTTTTAAAATTAAATTTATCTGTGGTAGAGCAAATATAATGAGTTTACTTCAAGTTATATTTTTTTGCCTTTATTGGGATGTCATATTATGATAAAGTTTTCATTTTACATATTTTGTGGAAAGCCTTTGTTAAAAGTTCTACACTTGTTACATTATTGTTGGTTATTGAACTGCCTTAAATTTGTTGCTAAGATAGGTTGAGGGAAATTTTGAAGTTGCAGGCATTAACTCTTTGCCTGCTGCATTTAACTAGTGTATGATGCAGTCAGCTGAATGTGTCATGGTAAGATTCCCTTTTACTCAATGTAAATTTCCTGAGATATTTAAGAGAAGATTGGGAATTGCAAAATGGTACATGTTTGGAACTGGAAGAGGTTAAGTATAGCTTGAAGTTCATTTTTTAGTTTTGCTATTATTTGCCACCTTTATTTTTAATGATGTAAATATAAATATTACAAGAATATGTTGGTATCCCATCTCATCTCAACTTGAAATAAGGACATCAGTGCAGAAGGCTGTATTATAGTGTAAACAGACCAGTAATATAACATTTGACATGAAAATTTCAATGAAATTCCTCACGTATACATTCCATTTGTTTCATAATTGTCTTTGGTTTAATTTGTTTTCAGATTATATGTGGATTGTTGTAAAATTGTGGTTTTCAAATTCTTATGTTTAAACATGATTGGTTCTTTGCTATGACTGGAATAATTTTATGTAAAATTCAGTTGCATGATTCCTACATTTACTGCTAATTCAAAGACTGAATTACATCAGTAAAAAAAAAAATCTTGCATTTCTTCTATAAAGGTCCTATAATCCTAGCTTCTTGAAATATTTTGCGTGGTTGCCATATTGTACTTTTTAATTGTAGATGAAAATTACATTGGGTAAGTTACAAAATCTCTTAGGTCATCTTGAGTAACTCGCACGTGGATCATCCGAGGTTTGTGGAGAAAAGATTGGGTAACTGAGGTGACCTCCAGTCTTCCCTAGCAAATTTTCTGAAGACTGGCTAGTCTTTCAAAAGTATACTTTTCTGCAAGGGACACAAGGCCATAAACAGAGGCATGGACAACAAATATTGTCTATTCTGAATTTGCATTGAAGTTGACTGAGGATTCCAGTACAGGATCCTTTTATCACTGTTGGTCTGGGTAGTAATGCCATATAGATTTAAAGGTAGGCACCAACATTTCAGAGAAATACATATACTGTCTCCACCTTCCCTGTGCAGATATATTTTGAGGAGAAAAATAAACATGAACATACATGACAGTTTCCATAGTACAATGTATACAGACTGCAAGAACATGCCAAAGTATTTCAATTCAGAAGTCCACAGAGTTACAGATAAAATTGGCACATGTTTAGGAAGACTCCTGTCACCTCTTGGATGCTAATCTTGCAGCTTTGAATCTACTAGTAGGGCGAGTTTGTGTAGGTGGTTGTGGTCGAGATGATGGCTCTTCTGAAGTGTGCTCAAATACATCCCCAAAGACCTACAACAATTACAATAATATTTTAATTTTAAGATGGCTGGAGCAAAGGAAAAGGGCATTAAGGGGTGAATGGGTGAGGGAAGGAAGTGGAACAGATTCTGCTGGAACACAATGGATGGTTAAAGTATGCACCTGTAGAATGAACTTTATTAAGAATACCAACCTCTAAGTTAAAATGATAAACTCCTGTGTTCAAGATGTTTTGTTCATCCAGTACTTTATAGCATGTTTAAGTGACACTGAGATGTTACATGCTAGTATCGGTCTTATAAATTAACTTTCATACTAATATTTGTACATATGATTTCACAATTTGATTGCCTTTTTTCCCCATAGCCAGGTACCTACATCAGGTATACTGCCAGTTTTAGAAGGAAGAAAGAAACCCCATGAAAAGCAATATATGTGAAATATGACTAAAATATAAAACTTATGTGATTACCACAGGGCACTCTTCCAATTGTAAAGGCTGTGATGCTAGGGTGTTCCATGAAGGTTCTTCCATTTCCTGAGTTATTGGAACAGAGTCTGGCTGATTAAGCCATTTCATCCGTTGCAGTTCTATGCCACTACTACTCTCCAAATCAGCTGACTTCTTCTTCAGTATTGGCTTAGGTGACGCATCTTTTGACATCAGTTCTTTAATGTGTTTATGAATATCAGCTGGAGTTTGTATTGGATGCTCTTCAGACTTTCTACTTCCTTGTGTTTGGCTGTCAATGGGAGTATGACAAAATTCAATCCTTATTGATTCCACACTTGAATCACTTTCACTATCATTTATTTTTGGAGTCCCTTCATCTGCAAATGATACATGTCTGGCTGAAGATTTCTGAGATGCTGAACTTGTGCTCTGTGAATTAAAAATGTCTCCAGGTTCATGTGTCTCATTTAATGTAGAATGCTCATACGTTACAATCTTCTGTTTTATTAGGCCATTCCCTCCGACGCATTGTTCTCTCAAAAGCAAATTATCAATAAGATCATCTTCCATGGCTTCAGTCTCCTCTGTATCAACTTCACTACTTTCATCATATTCTACATCTCTCTGATCTGCATGCAACCTATAATCATTTTAAAACACAATGTAGAATACAAAATATGCAAAGATTATGATTTTTCAACTGATAGCATTGTCAAGGTAATAACATTCAGTTTGCATGAGGGATACCGGTACACAGTGAATTTCGTAGATCACGAAGCAGATTGGAGGATAACAACAAAATAAATCTTTGGGAAATGCTATGTGAATTCAATTGAACTGTCTCAGGACCATTTCCAATGACAGACTAAGGTATTAACATTACTAACCTTCAGTCCACTACAGAAACCCCACACTTTTGGACTTCATAACATGGCAATTTTCACAAGGAAATTGTAACCTCAGAAATATGTCTTCTCACCTGTCAATTTCCTGTTCTAACTCCTCTTGCACTTCTAACTCATCTAACCTTTTCCATAAACTTTCTTCATCATAAATCTTAGTTTTCTCTTTGTTACGCAGTTCACTCAGCTTCTGCCGATACTCTTTTTCCTTCTGACGATGCTGGACTGAAAGATTGATGTATAAGTGGACTAAATTAATCTGTTTGCTAATATGAACATTTTTTCATGTGTGCTATTTATCTGGGACAGTTTATGAATCAGAAATATAATGTATGTTCTTACGTTTCCACTTCGCCTCTTCCTTCTCATCATATGGTTCTAATATTTCTTTCCTAGAATCAGCTCCAAAAGCGTCCTGTTCAAAGGGAAGCTGCTTTCTTGCAAGAAACAAATTGTGTTCTCTCTCCAAGTCTTTCAGCATACCATTGCATACTACCAAAATCAAAACAAAGAAAGAAATGTGACAGAGCAGGCTTGTTTTCTATAAACAGCACAACACAATTGTATTTTCTGTGATTTTGACCAAACATAAAATCATCAACTGAATGAAAGAATATACATAACATATTTTTAGACATGAAGTGAATGAAATTTTTTGTTGGTCATCTGTCTGAATGTAAGCTGAATATTACTGAGTAGGATTTGAGGTTTTCATGGTAGTGAGTCTATATATTACTGCTCTGAGAATAGTGTTACACAATATATTTGGATAGATGGTTGTGTTCATGTGCATGTCACATTTATGAATCTCTGAGTATAATGGTATGTCCTAGAACCTGTGGGGAAAAGACTCCTTTCCAAGATCAGCCATCTCTTTCTTTTTAAAATTTTCAATGTGGTGTTATATTTTACTTGCTAACCTTCCATGCTTGGAATGACTCAAGGATGTGGGATAAGAGAGGAAGTGAGGGGTGTGATGGTAAGATAAAACTGGTTTCAACAGCACCAACACTACTAGTATTACTGTTGATTTAGTTAATCTCCAGGATTTGCATATTTGTCCTCTACATTTTGCTTTATTGATGGCATCAAATGATAACAATGGAAAGGCTGAAAACATGAAAGACAGACATGAATGGAATGAAGAGGTGTTCTTTGATTATACTGAAGCATAAAAACACCTAATCTCCTTCTCAAATCTTACACTTTATCCGCCTGTCACATATTTCAGCTGCTTCCTTAGCACTGCATTTCACAAACCAACCATCACCAAGGCAAACTAGTATTTCATTTGTATGAACCATCTTTCCTCTCATAAGTGCCTTGGATCCTATAGGGACCATCACTTCATGAGACAACTTATCAGGAAGTATGCCTAGATGAGAATGCAGAGTCATGTGTTCATCCTGCAGTTTCATCCAATGTTTTGTTGCACATTCATTTTTCTGTAACGCCTGTAACATAATTATGAAACTGTCTTACATTTATGTAAGATTATGTAGCAATGATGACCAAAGTTTTCTTACTCCCTGGGATATTAAATAAGAATAATATAATTACCTTTGTTAAGATAACAATGATGTGAATTTAATTCGTCTTAAAAGTTCTATTTTGTCTTTTCGGATTATGCGGTTTTAGAAAATTTGTAGATGGGCATTCGTTTTAACTAAGGTAGAAATGACAACTGTTACATCCATTAAATCGGCATTCGTGCAGAAGACCTGCCACCTC